CTAAATAACCTTCACATTTCTTGTGACCTTGAGGCTTTGAATGTACAAAGCTATTTTTCCATTTTCGGTCTGCAAGTTCTCATCTCATTCACCATTTTCTCTCTCTTCATGGATTCCATTTGCTCTTTTGACAAGGAATCAAGCAAAAATTCTTTCCATCCTCTCTCCTGCTCTCAAAACACTTTCTTTTTTGTGTTGTTTTTTATATTTATGCTCGTTTGATTTTTTTTTTTTCCTGAGATATCCCCAGTAGAGTTTCGAATTGCTCACTCAATTCTTTACTTCAAAACTAATAGTTCCAAGCTACTTTGATTTCTTATAACTAGCTGTACAGAAATACTAGTTCCAAACTGCTTTGAATTGTTACAATGAGCATTCAGAACTAATAGTTTGGATTAGCTTGATTCCTTACATTGGGCAATCCAAAACCAATACTTTTGGACCTTTGGTTCCTTATAATGAGTGATTCAGATCTAAATTAATAGTTTTGAATTAGGATATTATGAAAAAAAAAAAAAATAGAAATAAAAGAATATAAAATGTTGAAGATACTAATTATAAAGAATACGAACATGATATTTCTTTTACTATGGGAGAAATCAATATGTAAATTGGAAAAAGACCGTAGGATTCCCACAAAACAATGGCGCTTCTATGGAGAACACTAACATTAGAGCCAAGAAAGCCCATGGAAGTACTAAGAGATGTAGGTCTTTTGCAAAAAAATATATTGGGGGAGTTATTTTATGCCACCATATCATATATTAATACATTTGCATGATCTCAAATTTTGGATTGGGACTCTTTTCATCCCAACAATTAATTCCAAAATTTTTTGTATAGGGACTCTTTTCATCCCAACAATTAATTCCAAAAACTAAAATTCAATTTGCACTTTAGGTGTGGTTTACATGAGCGCACTTCAACAATGAATCTTGACCATCCATCTGGTAAGTTTTAAGATATTCATCTATTGAAAATGAAGCCATCTAGAAAGTTCAAAAAATGGAAAAAAAAAAAATCCTTCTAAACCCTAAGTTAAGTAGGTTAAATTTTTTTTTTTTAAGTTATTTTCAAATTTTATTTATTTGTGATTGTTTATCAAAATAAAAAGAGTATTTTAAAAAAATTTATAGTCAAACAAAAGGGCCCTAACAAGATTTTTGAGTGAGGAAGTAAAATGAGGATAAAAGCTATAAATTTTTTGAACTTCACTATGAAATTAATTTTTATCGTGAAAATTTTACATGTTGTGCCTCACGAATGAAATATATGTGAACCCCATAAATTCCATTCTCAACTATCTGATCTGAATGGATGACTATGATAACGTTAGACACATGTTGTGCCAAATACCTTTTATTTTAATTTTTCTAGATACTTTCTTTGCATAAAGTTTGTCGCACCCGCTGCTTATTGGGCTAGAACGGCCAACGGGATGACTTGGGCAAGGCCAGCCTTGGCCCTAACGTGCCCTAGGCCTAGGTCTAGTCTCGGGCCGGGCTAGGCCAAATACAATCCAAGAAGAAGAGAAAAAGAGTAAGTTAAAAAGGGTTGGGCCGAGCAGAACTGAGCCACCCTAGCCCAACCCTACCCTTGGGTTGTGGTTGCCCTGCCCTGGACTGACCCATGGCCACATCTTGTAGCCCAGGCCCTTAAGGCCGGGTCGAGTCGGCCCGAGTTGCCTATTGCCACCATAAATAGGGGCGCACCTAGCAAAACAAATGTTTCTAGCCGAGGCTTTAAACAATCAAAGTAAAGCTCACCTTCAAATACTGTAGAGAAATGTAGTTTCAATATTGAAATCCTTATGATAGCCTTAAAATATATTTTCATCGTTAATTATAAAATTTAAAGCTTAAAAAATAATATAGATCAAGCAGATCTATGAAAACTTGAAAATCTTAAAAATCAACTGTCGAAAAATGCGTTACAAGATGCACTATTTCCAAAACTTGAAATCCATTTTTTTTCTCATGTCCATGCATTTTGTTGTCGACATGATCAATTTGAGGATATTTGGACATCAATCTGAGGATATTTGGGAATCAAAACAACCACTTCTAGTAAAATTTTTGAGGTGGGCTTTAATTTAATTGTTTAGAGCCTTGGCTCTATGTAAATTTTTTTCATTATTTATTGTTTTGTATTTTTGTGGCCACCCTAAGTCAGTATCAAGCATCTTTTGATAAGCATTTTAAAATTACATTAAAAATATATTTATATTGTAAAAATGAAGATGGTTTGATAAAGTTGTAGCTCTATCAAAACAAGTAAAGTCTCACTTCATAATTAAAGCATTAAAACACCTTTACACCAATAATCTTAGCTTGAACATGAAAAAAAAAAGATTTCAAACTTTAAAATAGCGTACATTCTAAAAAATTATCTAAAACGCCCAAGATATATACCATTTTTAAGTTTCAAATTCTACTGTCGCTACTGAAAATTGATTTTAAAGCCATCATAGATATTTTTATTGTCGAAATTGCTTTCATACAAGAATTTGAAGTAAGGTTTTATTTTGTGGGTGCAGTTTGCATACGGACGCATTCATAGGTGTAGAGGTAAGGTGCATCTTCAAATTTTATCATGATCTATAATTTTGATGTAAAATTTTCAAGGATTATCTCAAAATCTACTTTTATATCTAATTATAAAATTTTAAATTTAAAGATGGTTATTTTTGATGTAAAATTTTTCAAGGATTATCTCAAAATCTACTTTTATATCTAATTATAAAATTTTAAAATTTTAAATTTAAAAATGGTTAATATCAAATAGATCTATAAACAAAATACACTATTTTTTAGACTTAAAATCTTTTTATGTTTCATAGCCGTACAACTCGATGTCGAGATACTCGATCAAAGGGTTTTTCAACATTAAAACTACATTTTTCCGATGGATTTTTGAGGGGTAAACTTTTTCTTTCATAAACCCTAGGAGTTGCACACACCTCATCCTTAAATAGTTATTTTACTGAGAGAGAGATTGGTGCTGTTCTTTAGAGAGAGGAGGCTCAGACAACTTGGGTATTCTTCTTAGAGAGAGAAACACCAATCACATATAGTTGTTTGTTTTTTGAGAGAGTAATCGGAATCATAAGGGTTGGTTTCTCTTTTTATTCCGAGAGGAAATGGCACTAGGAGAGGAGGTGAGTAATAAGCAGATCATATTGAAGAACTATGTGACTGGTTTTCCCAAAGAGACAGACATGGAAATGGTGTCAAGTTCCATTAAAGTCAAAGTACCAGAAGGATCAAAGGCTGTTTTAGTAAAGAACCTGTACCTCTCTTGTGACCCTTACATGAGGCTTAAAATGACCAAACCAGAAACCCCAACCTATTTCACTGAGTACCCGCTTGGCTCTGTAAGTGCCCTTCTCCTTAATAACTTCCTCTGTTTTCATGGATTACAGTGGAACTGTTTATATTTCGTAGAGTAGTCTATGACTCGGGGGACGCATTTCCCGCTTGGCTCTGTAAGTGCCCTTCTCCTT